ATCGTTTACCGATCACTCGTTATTCCGCTGTTAATCAATGATGTCAGTAATATTTTTAACAAAATAAAGCTGAATTATTCAAAGCTGATTAGAACCTGCCTGTTCAAGAGTGTTGTCGACTATAATATTGAACGTTACCCGTCCAGCTTTTCGGCTTGAAGTTGTTGGCCTATATGATTTTCATCTTTCCGTTGCTTCTTTACTCTTTTCGTTTGAATTTTTTTTTTGTATCAGTGCCCCCCTAATTAATCCCCTGAATCGATTGTGTGTATTGAAGGTTGCGTGTGTACTTTGTTATACGCAATGGGAAAAATAGCTAGGTTACCTACGATTTAAATAAAATTATATGAAATTGAAAACTGCATTTACTTCCTTCCCTTAGTATTCGGGACTTTCGATTACGGTGTAAGAATATGGATGTATGGTAAATTAATATTTCAGACAATGTAACACGTATGAAAATTACTCCCTCGGAATCTAAAATTGCTTCCATTGCACCGTTTATATTTAATGAGATATTCGCAACTGAAAAAGCAAAACTTTGTTCTTTCTAAAATAGATAGCAAATAGTCTTTTTACACAAATATTGAGTTTTATTACTTTATTTCTTCTTAAAGAAATCGGTATAAATAAGTCCAGTAATAAGCACGTAATTAATTTTCTTAATAAAAATGATATTTCAATTTATTCTTGTATCAACAACCTCGAAACTTGTGAATTAGTTCACTTTGACCAACCCTTACAACGTTATACTAACAGTTTTCGTCTTGAGCAAACATTCTATTTGTAGCTTAAAGAACGTAGATTAATGTCCTGTCATGGACAATAACAATAAATGACCAGAATATTGTTAAAATCGCATTTAAACGCGGAATACCACTATTTTTTCGACTGGTGGCGCCACCCGTGGTAATTCGCTCAAACTGCTAGCCAAATCATACCGACAGGTGACTGAGAATTTCTAGTCATGGAAAAATGCGAATATCTCAGTAATTAAGCGCTTCAAATGAACGTCATTAGTCTCGAATTGTCCCTCAGGACTTAATGCATGGACCCAATAGTGCAGAACCCCTGAATTAGTAAAATTAGTTATGCCTGTATTACCCAAGCCCCTTATGGGGCGGTAACCCTACATGCACAGATTTCGATTACATTTACACCGCTGAACGGGCATCATTTTTCCTCGTCACGCATTAAATTCGAAGTTTGAACAACGTAGATTAGTTCTTTCTAGCGACTGGAAACCAGTACTTACAAGAACATTGTTAAAATCACATTTATTTGCAACGGTTGACACTGTATCTCGTCATGCGTACTTCGTTTAGTTCATTTTAGACAGCTGTTACACCGTTATACGGATAGCTTTCGTCTAGATAAAGCACTCCATTTGTAGCTTAAAGAACGTAGATTAATTCCCTGCCATTGACAATAACAATAAACCATCAGAACACTGTTAAAATCGCAATTTATTTGCAACGGTTGACACTGTATCTCGTCATGCGTACCCCAGTTAGTTCACTTTGGACAGCTCGAACACCGTTATACGGACAGGTTTCCTTTATCTGAAGCACTCAATTTGTAGCTGAAAGTACGTAGATTAATCCACTCTTATTGATAATAACAATAAACGACTAGAACACTGTTAAAATCGCATTTAATCGCGGAATACCACTATTTTTTGGACCGGTGGCGCCATCCGTGGCGAATCGCTGAAACTGTTAGCCAATTATATGGCTAGCAGTTTCAGCTATTCACCACGGGTGGCGCCACCGGTCAAAAAAATAGTGGTATTCCACGTTTAAATGCGATTTTAACAGTGTTCTCGTCGTTTATTGTTATTGTCCATGATAAGTTTTATATCATTATAATTTATATGTATATATGTATATTTCAATAAACATACGTCAGGTAATATAAGCTTCATTTCATCGAATTGTTTTAAATATAACTACATAAATATTGTACAATCATATACTAATTATAGTTGTCTGGTTCAACAGGTTACTCTACAGAAGCTAACTACAGCCTACGTCTTTTAAACTTGGGCTGTAGTAGTATCTGCAGAAACTGCCATGGTTGCTGGGGTTATTATCTAATTTTTTCACGGGAACACGCACAAGCGTCACTCCCAATTCGACAGTTGCACGAGCAATATTCGACTGAGCTCGAGACTTGTACGAGCAACAGCGATAAAGGATCACGTTTCAAATGTCTACTGACGCAAGCCATTTCAGTACCGTTCATTGTCCCGTAATCCACATGTAATAACAACAGATCGAATCCGGCAAAGGACTACTGCAAATTATTACACACGTCTATCGTATACCACCGGTAATCAAAATTTCGGCGACAAACTTATGAAACCTTTATGAAGTTTTGAAGACTGCACGGAAGACTTGCAAGTGACAGAGGAGGGAATTATTTGCGGCATATAAGTTACAATATTTTATAAGCCTGAATAATATCTAAGCCTACTTTTTC